AGTTAGCAACATTAGCAGCATCAGCAGCATTAGACTTAGCAATGTTAGCTGCATCAGCAGCATTAGACTTAGCAATGTTAGCTGCATCAGCAGCATTAGAGTTAGCAACATTAGCAGCATCAGCAGCATTAGACTTAGCAATGTTAGCTGCATCAGCAGCATTAGACTTAGCAATGTTAGCTGCATCAGCAGCATTAGTGTTAGCAACATTAGCTGCATCAGTAGCATTAGCAGCATCAGTAGCATTAGTGTTAGCAACATTAGCTGCATAAGTAGCATTAGCAGCATCAGTAGCATTAGCGTTAGCAACATTAGCTGCATCAGTAGCATTAGCTGCGTCAGTAGCATTAGCAGCATCAGTAGCATTAGCTGCATCAGTAGCATTAGCAGCATCAGTAGCATTAGCTGCATCAGTAGCATTAGCTGCATCAGTAGCATTAGTGTTAGCAACATTAGCAGCATCAGTAGCATTAGCTGCATCAGTAGCATTAGCAGCATCAGTAGCATTAGCAGAATTTGTAGTATTAGCAGCTGTGTTTGCTTTTGTCTCAGAATGATGACATCACAACAAAAGCTGTACCAACAGCAAAAACTGAGTTTCATTCTGAGATTCTTGAATGTGAACTGGCCAACAGTTAATATTTATTTCTACATTTTATTGTGGATTTAATATTTAGACACAACATTTAGTATTTGAACAATGAGAATTTAGTAAAAATGAGCAAAATGTAAGAACAGTGAGCTGAATAATTTAATATTAGTGGAAATGTTTTAACTAGGATTTTACACTCAGTGAGTCAAACAATGAAAATGTGTTTTTAACATTTTATTTTACTTTTCTGTTCTTATTTTTTATACTAAACTTATTAAACAAAAGTAAAAAGCTCCTCAGTCAGGTGGTCAGACACTTTGAACCTGAGGTTTGATAAATCTTTAAAGTCTGACTCAGTTTGTGCAGAAATAAAAAAGTCCAAACCTTGTTTTTATTTATCATCAGAACCAGGCCGACGAACAGCTGGCCCAGGACCAGGATGATGATGAGGCCGGTGAACTGAGGAGGAAGAGCAGAGGAGAATCACACCGAGGTCCAACCGGGCCGGGCCTGAGCAGAACCTCAGCGGACTCACCACCAGCAGCAGGAACCGGAGCTCTCTGCTGGCTGCGACACACCCGCTGACACCGACCAGAACCACCACCGCCCCGATCAGGAAGAGGCCCGCGGCCACCACCTGCAGCTCACCTGAACACAGACACGGGTCAGGTCGGAAATTCTGCTAACAGACACAAAGCTAACAAACAAACAAACAAACAAACAAACAAACAAACAAACAAACAAACAAACAAACAAACAAACACAACTTAAAGCTTTCAAATAAAAAAACTAAATGATTTATTTCAGATAAAAATAATAAAATCTTAATAAAATCAAAAATACAAAGTAAATCTTTGGCACCAGAGGAGAGGACGTTCAGGAAGGTTCCCCGGTCGAACAGGATCCAGACCGCACAGCCCAGCACACTCAGACCCAGAACCTGAACACACAAACCACATGAAGGAGCTTCCACAGACCAGAACCCTTTAGAGGGACCAGAACCGGGTCAGGCAGAACCACAGGTCTCACCAGGAACACAGAGTTCAGAACCGCGAAGCAGAACTTCAGCAGCTCGATCTTCACCTGCAGCTTCATCTCAACCAGGAGGTTCTGTTTGGTCCGGTCCAGCAGAACCATCCCTGAGAGAAGCGAGGCCAGAGTCCACTTCCTGATTGCTGTGTAAACATTAAACCAGTGTGTCGCCGTGGAAACAGACTGAGAGGAAACGCTTCAGAGTCTGAAGATTTATTCTGACGTTCAACATGTTTTTATTTTATTCCATGAAGTTTGATGTTCTGATCAGCTTCTGTTGTTCAGGCTGATGGAAACTATGTTTCCCACAATGCATCTGGGCCTGGCTGAACCAGAAACTGTGCTTGTTTACAGGAAACATTCAGGAGTTTTATTTAATATATAATAA